GTCACTGCCTTCCTCTCCAGTCTAGGATCGCCTCTCCTCCGTCTCAGGTCAGCGTGGCTCCTCGTGTCGCTGACCTAAACGGAAAGGACAGTGAATCAGTACCAACCCCTCCCAGGAAGCCATGTGGGGATGCCACCTCACAGCATGGGATGGCTGCCTTGGTCCTCACCCTTCCCCTGCCCTGTTCTGGATCACAGGGGGCTGGCTTCAGGCGGTGTTTCCTGGGCTCCCGGGCGCTCACCTCTCAGCAGTAGGGAGCAGTCGTGGTGACTGGGGGAATGAGAGAGAGCAGGGAGGCTGGTGTGTACATTACGGGACCAGATACAGCGCCGGTCTGCAGACCAGCCACTCAGAGACTGTTTGTGATGTTTCTCAGGCGTGCATTCAGCCTGCTGAAATGCAGATTCTTTTCCTTCCTAAGATTTCAGTAGATAACAGAATTATTTAAAGACTAAATGGAGACAATTTTAGGCATCTTTGGCAAAATTCCCTTAAATGAATCCCTGTCAGATAGACCTCTTGAAAGACTCCGATTGTGTGCTGGAATTAAGTTTAACAGGTTCCACGCTCTCGGCAGAGTTCTCTTAAGTGAAGTCTTGTCAGAAAGATCCTAATTGTGCAGGAAAATGGAGCTTAACAGGTTTCACACCCTCCATTAGTGTCACAGGCCCCTGTGTGGGCATGTTGGCCTACTGGTGGTGACAGGGAGTCTTCACAGGGGACGCAGCGGTCCCCACAGCAAACAGGCTTCATCTGATTTCTGTGCTCGGCTGTCAGGTGCTCTCTGGGCGATCTCTGAGCACCTGTTACTGCACCTAATGATCATCGTTACCCATCGCACTCAAAATATGTGACGTCTTCATTAAATACTGTGCTTTCACAATAAGCAGACGATAAAGAGTAAGAAAGATTCCGATCTAGAAAGAGAAACTACACTGGCCCTGAGGTGGGTGGCCGTCAGCCTGGCAGGGAGACCCTCTGCAGTGGGCACCGCCCGGAGCCCAGGCCAGACCAGGCTGCAGACCAAGCCCCCGTTGCCTCCCAGTCGGTGCAAGTGGCTATAACACCCACACCCTCTGTTCTCCCTGGCGGAGTTCTTCATGTGTCCATGCGAAAGGTTTTCTCATCTGTGGTAGGGTTTCCAATTTTTGTTGTTTTTTGTTTTTTTCTTTACCGATTTTTGAGAGAGGGGAAGGGAAAGGGAGAGAGAGAGAGAAATGTCGATGAGAGAGAACATCGATTGCCGCCTCCTGCATGCCCCCCACTGGAGACCCAGCCCACAACCTGGGCATGTGCCCTGACTGGGAATTGAACCGGTGACCTCTTGGTGCATGGGTCAACACTCAAACACTGAGCCACACCGGCTGGGCCAATTTTTGTTTTTAATTGCAAAGTAAACATGTTCTTTGGAAAAAAATGTGGAAAATATGGAGAAGCACCAAGAAAAATGATCCGGTCACTCAGTTAACATTTTGGTATCTAGACATTCAATCTTTTTTCAGTTCATATAAATATGTAATTCTTCTTTTTAACTATTATATAGTCCAGTTTCCTAAGAGCTTATTTTATTCAGCTGCGTATCGTGGCTAAAAATAAGCTATATGCAACATTTTTCGATGTTATCAAGTATTTTCTACTATAATTTTCTAGTATAATTTCTGATAGCTGCATACTTTTCCATAGTGTGGATATACCATCATGTATTTAATAAATTAGAAAGTTTAGACAAAAATCTGCAGTCTAGCAGCTACAGCCATACCCTTAAGGTTTTTGTAACACAAAAACCATCCACCAAGCTCTTTGACACCAAGTCCTCAAAGGAGTGATTTTTTGTGTGTGCGAAGTGGTTGTAGCTGTCAATCATTTCCTCTCGCCGCCATGGCGTCTGTGCGCTCTCCAGGTTGCTGGGGTGATTATGAATTCCTGTCAAATGAGATGTCTACTATGTATTCAACACGAGGAGTGTGTATCTTTCTCAGTCTCTTGCTCTCCCTTCGGAGGAGGCGAAGCGAATCTCGGTGAGCCGGAGGGAAACAGGACGGGCATCGGGCGGGGGAACACGCCGCAGACATCCCCAGGGCCCTCGGATCCCCACACAGGCAGCTTAGACGTCTACAGAAATACATTTGTCTTGACTGTCACATCCCACCCAGGGTTACACCTCCACGCTTAAAGATGGCTCCGAGCCTGCTTTTCCAAGCTGCTTGCCTCCCCTGTTGCTTTTTAACCACCTAGCTCAGAGGCATTTTTGGTGTTATATCTATCAAAGATGATTAAGGGGCTGCGAGAGCTGATGTATAAGGACAGATTAAGAAAACTAAGTGTTTACAGCTTGACTGAGTGACAGCCAGGGGGAAGATATTATAACTGTCTGCTGGGCTCAAATCATGGAGGAGACTTTGTTTTGCTTTTCCCAGTAACTTGATTTTAGGAATATCTAATTCAGAGAAAGTTTTCCAAGGATGACATCACTTAATGCTAATTAGATCATTGTGTCCATTAGAAATTACGTTTAGCTGCTAGAAGCAGAAACTTGGAATAGCAATGGCTTAAACAAACAAGGTTTCATTTTCTCTCCTATAAGATGAAGCCCAGAGTGGATTGTCTGGGGCTGCATTGCAGCTCCATGATGTCTCCGGTGCCCCTAGCCCTCTTGTCTTTGGCTCCATTATCCTCCGCATTATTTTCATGCTCAAGGTCACCTGATGCCATGGCTGTGGTCCAGGAGGAAGGGAGGCAAGCGAGGTCCTTTTAAGACTGTTTGGAAGAGCCATCTTGGAAGCATATGTACTGACTTCAGTTGTTATTCCATTGACCACCACATCTGCAGGAGGGGCTGGGGAATCGAGTGGGGGTTGTTTTACTTTGTTGTTTAGATTGGGTACATGCTGACACCAACAATGTCAAGGTCCTTTCCTGAGAAGGCATGAGATAATGGCTCCTGGAGAGCCAACCAGTGGTTTCTGCCATAATCATTTACCTCTTGAAGATTTTGAGAAAAGTCTGGACCCTGAAACACAGTGACATGTGCTATGATATTACAAAGTTCCACTTGAAGTCTAATTTATTTACTACTGATCACTCTTAGCTATTTCTATTTATTCATCACAGCGTCCCTTGCGGTTACACTACATAAACCAACCATTTCAACAGACCTAAGAATAATAATAGCTAGAGTGTGTTAACTTTCACCAAGCTCCAGGCACTGTGGTATGCCCTGAAGAATATCATCTGAACGCTTTGCTTCAAAGTTATGGACAAGGGTATATATGAAAGAGACACTCACTAGAGTTGCTGATCATTGAAGCCGAGCAGTGGCTGCATGGGGATTTATTCCCCTCTTCTCTCTACTTTTACATGTATTAAAATTTTCCCAATAAAGACTTTAAGTGTCACCTCATCTGCTTCTTAAAATATCTCAAAGCAGGCCAGTGCCACCCCCCAGCTGAGAATGCTCAGGGAGCTTCAGCAGCATCATACAGCAAGTAAGTGGCCGGCTCAGGATCCAGGCCCCGGTTTGCCTGACTCCGAAGTCTGTGCTCCAGCCCTTACTACTCAAAGGAAGCATGTTTCCCAGGCAAGGAGCCAGAAACCAGTTTGAAATGCAGACTTTCGGGTCCCACCCAGGATCTTTTACAAGACCCCCAAGTCAGATTTCCATGTGCGTGCTAGTTTCCACGCTCCATCCTCCGCACTCTGCTGCCTTGGTAGCTGACTTAGCCCACACAGCCCATTATGGCTTCTCCTTCAAATGCAGCCTTCTGTTGAGTGAAGCCTAATCATGAGTCCCTGTTGGTAGCATCAACATTGTTAATAAGCATTCGCTCCACCGCAGCTCTTTCTTCCAACCCCGGGCGTCTGCTGTAGTGCTGGGCCAATGAAGAGCGCTCTGAATGGATGGCAGCCCTCGGTAATCACCGCCTGCTTGAAACCGAATTTGGTCTGTTCTACTTAAATCAAGTGCAGCTTCTGCTCACTTGAGGTGTTTGAGCTTAGAAAGCCTTGGAGAGACTTCAGTGGGAAAGCCCAGGGGCCTGTCCCCACTTCCACCAGCACGACTCTGCTTCCCCGTCTGTGCAGAGCTTTCCCAGAGACTCGGTTTTTCTCCCTAACATCCCCGGACATCTTTTACCATGTCAGTCCTCCCTCTCTCTGGAAGAAAGAGAGCTGTAGGAATTGGACAACCTGAGTCCCAGCTCTGCCACTGTGTGTCCTGTGGGCAAAGTAGTTAACCTTCCAAGTCTTCATTTCTTCTTGTGTGTAGTGGCCGTGCCATTGGGCTCCTTCCAGCTCATCCTTCTGCACCCCACGTGGTGTGATTTCTCAGCCCTCCGAAGACATTATGCAGACAGTGGACTCTGCGTGAAATCCACCTATCTTTCTTCAGTCAGTAGAAGGATCCTGGCATTGATTTTTACTAGGTTTTCTTTCCAAATAATGAGGACCTTAATGCTTCCTAGTTTACTTGCCCCAGATCCTTTTTCGAATAAGCAAATAAGTGAATGAATGAAGCCTGCCATCCGTCTCAACTATAATCTGCTCCTGAAAGAGGCTGGGCCATTTTTGTTTTTGAACATTTCAGAACATTTTCTGGCTGCCAAATTGATTTGGTGGTTTTATTTATTTCAACAACGTTCAAACAGTCTATATATTTAACACCCTCAGCTGTTGGTCGATTCCCACAGCAAGAAAAAAGAGAAAACCCTAAGAAAGCAGGAACCCCAGCTCTCCCTAGGGACCAGCACTGTATAGGTCAGGTCCACACTGGTTGCTGGCAAAGGTACAAGCATCAGGTCACTTGCTGCTTCTTCCAAGAACTCGCTTTCTCCTACCAGAGTAATTTTAAGCAGGTATATGATCGTTTTCTCATCAAATTAAACCTAGGAAAAATAGTGTGCTGTAATACAGTGATTTTAATAACCATTGTGCTAGTCATACCTTAAAAAGTATCGCCCAGTCTTTTCGGTGCTGCATGTGAAGTCCTTGTGTTTGCTTTGCAGGGCGGCCTTTGGCAAGGAGTCAGAAGTTCTCATTGGGAACCTGGGGGATAAATTAATCCCTCCACAAGACATCCTGCGTGACGTCAGTGACCTCAAAGCCTTGGCCAACATGCACGAAAGCCTGGAATGGTTAGCGGGCCGGACAAAGTCAGCTTTCTCCAACCTTTCCACGGCTCAGAGTAAGTAACTAGTTGGAGGACAGCTGAGGAGCTAGACGAATCCTTTCTTTAGAAATGTGTGTCACCATATGGGGACGTGCCCAAGTTGTCCGAAGATCTGTGCCAGGAATCTGCTTGTGCTGAGCCTCTGGCACTCTGTGATTCCACCAAAGGAAGGGATCTCGGCTTCCCTGCGTGGGGCGTGGGAGGCCGAACACAGTCCATGTTCACATCGCTCGATATTAAGGTTAGAAACAAAATCGTGGAAGGTGGAACCCCTGTGTCCCAAGAACAAAAAGCAATTCCTTTTGTCCTCCCCACAGCTTCTCAAGGGTAGGAACCGGATCTCAGAGCTCAGAGCAAGCCAGGGCTGACGTTTTCATTTGAACTGATACAAAGTTAATGAAAAAGTGTCTACAGGAGAATAATAGAAGTGATTAAGGTGCTAGAAAATAGAGATTATGAGAAAAACAATTATTCTGGAAAAGAGATGGTTGAGAGATACCTTAATTATAGATTTCAAGGAAATTAAGGAACAGGGTATGAAATAAAAATGTGAAACTTCTTTTTCTATCAAGAACCAATGACTCAGAGAAAAATAATGTGAAAACTTTGGGGGCACATAAACTTTATTCAATAACTATAAAATAAATGCTTTTTAAAGGCATTGGTTCAGAAGTATGTATCAGGCAGTTATAATAGAGGCAAGAAAAAATTATATATGAAAAAGGAATAAAGGAGATGGCAGCTTTGGAGGCATAAATAAAGAGACAGAAATGGTAAGAAAAAGCAAAATAACAGCAAGAACATGAAAGAAACAAAATCTGCTCTGAACTTAGCATTAGAGTTAACAATTCGAAGATTATTGGAAAGAAAATGCTTACATTATTTGGAATGTAACCTTAGAGTAAGTTATTATCATTGTCTTTTGGAAAGTTATTATCACTTGATTAACAGTGGTTTCCAGCATAGAGGTGGAGGAAGTGTAGATGAAATTCACAGGGGTAAATTATTCTGCAAATCAGGCCCCATAAGGCAGAGTCGAGGGCCCTTGAATGCTCGCTGCTTAGGATCTCATACTGTGTATCTATCCTGAAGGTCAAGGGAAGGAGGGAGCACTTTTGAATGAGATTGTATATATACTCTGTTTTAGAAATCTTCTTAAAATATTAGCTTTTATTTATACTTTTATTTTTAAATTTTTATTATTTAAAATATTATTTTTAATCTGTTCATAAACTATATATGTTTATTCCCAGAATCTATAAAAATACAAAATATATATACCTGTTAAGGATAGTTTGGACCAGTTTTGGATCTGAGCAGACTCAGATAAATAGGTCTTCTGTTGGACCCTCAACTCCATCGTCCCGTCGTATCTGACATGTCACAAGCAGCAATCTAAATTACCCATTTACCTCCCAGTGCCACCCCACTTGACCAAAAAAAAAAAAAAAAAAAATCGGAAATAGTGAATTTCCATTTTGCTAGCTGCAGAATAGACAGCTCTGTAAAGGGACCAGATGCCTCTTTTTCTGATTTCCTTTCATCCTTGCAAATGCAGGAATGCTTGGGTAGGTGTCAGTGATCACTGGGCGGTGTCCTTTCACTGGGGGGCCCTTCAGCAGCTAACGTTTAGTCATGCTGTGTGTTCTTTCCGGGGGCACGGTATTCCAGATTTCTGTTCTGCCCATTCTGAGAGCTTCCACAAGGCAAGATAGGCCACACGCTCCGTCCGCAGCAAGCCATTGAGGGTCGCACGCAGGCCCACCCACGGCTGCTGTTTTCAGAGAGGGAGAGAAGCTCTCGGAATTATGCTCAACTTGGTAATTGCACAATTTAGCTGTTGGTCATGTCACCAAGGGGACTCAGTGCAGTTGCTGTCTAGTTCATGTCCTTAATCATCTCTGTTATTCTGACAAAGGTCTCTTCTATGCCCACTAGTGCTTTGTCTCCTGTGCTCAGTCCCACTTTATGATGTGTGTTGTACCCTCTCAGTTCCTCTCTGGGTGATCATTCCACCCAGTGAGTGATTTAAGTGACTGTCAGCATCTTGACGGTCAGTGCAAAACCCCAGTGAACTGTAGTCACTACTGGTGTTTCTTTGTTAAAACAAAGCAGCCATCAGAGCCCTTGGTGTGGCTCAGTGGTAGAGCGTCGACCCATGCACCAAGAAGTCGCCTTTCGATTCCCGGTCAGAGCACATGCCCAGGTTGTGGGCCCGATCCCCAGTGGGGGGCATGCAGGAGGTGGCCAATCGATATTCTCTCTCATCGATGTTTCTGTCTCTCTCCCCCTCCCTTCCTCTCTCTCTAAAATCAATAAAGAAAACAACAACAACAAAAACAAAGCAGCCATCGAACCCGGCTTTCTCTGTCACCAGCAAGCCGAGCTCACCCACACTGGTCTGCTCTTTGAATTCCCAGGAGAGGTGTCCATGGATGTTTATAATTTGAACAGAGCAGGGAATTCTCAGATAGTGGATTGCTTGGACTGCTCCATGACAGTCACTCTAGAAAGGGAATAAGGGACAGCTCTTTGTTATTCTTTCGAAAAGTGAACCTGCTAATCTCCACAAGAGTTTTTTCAAGTCTGGAGACTAGGTAGCAGGAAGGAAATGCTAGCTTTTTGTCCAGCACTCTTGATACTCAGGATGGGAAGAAAACAAGACAAGAACATTACGGGTTTAGTTCTCGTTCCATATTCTGTTAACTGCTGGGTATGGTCAGTGCCGTGCTTTATTATAAGTAAGAAGCTATTCATGGAATGGAGTGGGGGAAGGGAGCAGAAAATTCTTTTCATAGCAGAATAACTCTTCACATATTATAGCAAGATTCTCATCCACCTGAAGCATTGGTCATACTGAAGAGTATTGCATTTTTCTGTCTCTCTTAGTATTTGCCTAAATATCCCTCTGTCTTCTTTCCATTTAAAAGGGTCTCCTCACCTCTTGTAGATTCTGACTGCGCCGCAGGCACTACTCCTACTTGTGTCCTACCACAGGCCGTGGTTCCTGCTCCATTTCTTCTGGTGTCTCCCCTCTCGAACTTCCATAAGCCTGTTCTACTTACAATTCTTTCCATTGAAAGCCACAGAGCAGTTGAAGGAAAGAATGCATTGATTTGTAAAACTGGTACATCAGAAGGCTTCAGGTGTGGCTGGATCCAGAGGTTCACAAGATGTCACAGATATGTTTTCACACCTGTCCATTCTCTCTCCCTTTCTCTGTCTCTTGGTATTTTCTCTTTATTGCTTTCCATCTCAGATGGGTGCTTTCCAGATGACAACATCCTTGACCATCAGCAGCCCCAGGATTGTTTGATCCCAAACTAAAAGAGCTTTTTTGCCAAAAGCTCCAGAAATGGTCCCAGAGAAGACTTGGATTGACTCAGCCTGACCTTCTCTCACGTGGGTCCCTCTGGTTCTCTTTGTATCTGCCTTTTCTGATGCTTCCTGCCCGTCCACAGTTCAGTCTGTCTCCTACGCCCACTTACAGAATCCTTTATGTTCAGGATCTGTTTCAACAAACATGCTTTCAGTGCTAGGAAGTGGAACAGAGTCATATCAAGGGTTGGCAGTCAGGATCTAGGTTTATGTGCTTCATCCCTTTCCTCCCTTCCCTCCAACCCCCTGAGACTGGTCAGTCTGTTCCATGCGTCTATGTCTCTGGATCTATTTTGTTTGTCAGTTTACTTTTTTGCTCATTGGTTTTCACATATAAGTAAGATCATGTGGCACTTGCCTTTCTCTGACTGGCTTATTTCACTTATAAATGTATTTTCTTTCCCCCATTGATCACAACAGCCTTGTAGTAAAGGCACATGATGGTGTCTGTCCATTGTAGGTCCTGCTGTTCGTAAGAATCCTCGAGAAGGTCTCTGAGATTCACTGTCACGGTACAGAAATTTCTCAGGAAATGTGACTTACATAAAATTTGTTAGAGTGTATTTTATTTGAACAGTAATGATTTTCTTTTGCATTTTATCCTTTTGTTTTAAGGATGTGTTGCTTTTAAAAATAGACTGCAGAGAAGGGGAACGGGGCTCCGGGCTTCTGTTGTCTGCGCTGCTTTCATAAAAGTCTCCAGGATGAGAGATGCTGAGACTTCCTTGATTATATATTCTGCTCTTTTAAGCAACCTTCCCATCTAGGAAGTTACCTACATTTTATTAAAATCTCTCGGCTTCTGTCTAAACCTCTTTCCTCTGTCCTATTCTTAAGAAATTAAATGTTAAATATCTTCTCTAGAAAATACTTCAGTGGATGTGGAAACGTTTCCCTGGCCTGTACCTGCCCATCTCTGGCCTTAAAGACTTTGCCTCAAGGATCCACTCAACCAGTGTAAAATGACTGCAGCTTCCTTTTGCTTGTTTCTGACTTGGCTGCTCGAGACCCTTCGCCCATCATTGTGCCGCCCTCTCGGTTCCCAAAGCTTCCGGCTATTGATGTAATTCCACACCTCCGTCCACTGACGAATGCTGATACGCTCCTGGGATTGATATTTTTAAATAAAGTTTTTATTTTAGAACAGTTTTAGATTTAGAGTCAAGTTGCATACATAGGTAGTTCAGCATTCTCATGTATCTCGAACCCATTTTTCCCTATTGTTAGTATCTGACATTCATCACAACTGATGAACCAATATTGATACATTATTAACCACAGTCTATACTTGAGTCCTATTTCCTTCGTTTTTATCTAATGTCTTTTTTCTGTCCCAGGGTGGCATCTGGGACATCATCACACATTTAGCCACTGAGCCTCTTTCAGCTTGTCTGCACTGTGACAGTTTCTCGACTCTCCTTGTTTTGATGACCTTGACAGTTTAGAGGAATCCGAGTCAGATATTTTGCAGAATGCCCTTCAGTATGTCTAATCTCTTTTCATGACTAGACTGGGGTCACGGGTTTGGAGAAGGAAACCACGAAAATAAAATGCCATTCTTATCACATCATATCCAGGTTAACTCCTATCCCTGTGACTTATCACTGATGATGCTCTGGGATTGATTTTATGCCTCC